CACAATGCTTGTGACTCAGCGCCTTGCGGGGTTGGGCATTATGTAAACTTTCACAGACTTGCTGAAGGGGATGGTGCCCTCCATGCTGGTTTCCACCTGGGGTGACACTTTGCCACCTTCAATCCGGGGGGGGGGTTGGAATGCGGGAATTAGAGTTGTAGGCCAGTAGCAGTCTCACTTCCACCTGGCATGGTTCTGTCCAGGCAGTATGGGAGAGGTACACCTGAGTGATAAGCTGGTGGCGCCCTGGGCCAGGATTCTGCAAGTCTGCCGGCTTAGGATGAATCCTCTGAGCCTGGCCATCTGGATAGAAGACATGGACCTTCACAGCTCTCTCAGGGTCCTGCACATGTTCCAGGGTCGCATCGACATCCAGGGCCACAACCAATCCAGATGTAAACCGCAAAGGGTTGTCTGACTCGCCTGCTGGCTCAATGATGGTGGCTGAAGTGTGTTCCATCTGCTCTGGAAGGGGGAGGTGCAAGAAGGTACTCTGCCTCAGCATGGTCTGTAGAATTTTGACCACTTCCACAGGTTTGGATGTCATGAGTCGGGGCATAAGGTCAAGACGTTTGTCCACAAAGCTGTCCTGTAGGTGGGGGCAAATCAGCAATAAAACACCTCTGAAAAAAGTCCACTTCCTGTAAAAAGTTTTCACACATCCCAAATAAGGGGTCAACTCTTCGAGTAGTCTGTGCTGTTACTATAAGTTGCAAGGCTTTGGCCTGCAGCCTCATGTGATGTATAATCACTCCCTGTTTCTTCTCCACACCACTGTACATGAAGTCCATTTTGCAGGTCTCTTCCATGATGTTTTGCTGCCGCGGAGGCCAAGTCACTCTGCTTCAAATACAAAGGGGCAGCCACATTCCACAGCTTTCCTTGCAAGGCCTTGATGAGAAGAAGCTGACACCGAAGATAGGTAGCCAAGAAGTCAGCAACTCCTGCTAGTTCAGACTGAAGTTCTCCAAGTCTTTGCAGATCCCGGATGGTGAACTCCAGCAGCTTCTGGGTTCCCTGAGGGTCCTGGTGCTCTGAAGACTGTACACCCTTTCAGGGCTCTGCTGCAGGAACTGATGGGACAGGTCCTCATGGGGCGCAATACCAGGAGAAATGGACGATGACACTAGTTTTCTACCTGGTAACCTTAAGGCAGGAACAAGATGAGAAAGACTGTCTCGGAGGTAGGCATAATGCCTGAAGGTATGATCTGAGAACAGTGCCTGCATTGTTGGACAGGTTGTAGCAGCATTAAAAATAAGAACCAAAACTGCAATGTAAGCTGGGTCATCCATGTCTGGTTCAGCCGTGTCAAAAAATGGATGTGTGCTCAGGAGCTCTGGCACCAAGGGAAGCACCAGGGTTGGATGCCGACTTCCCAGAAACTTCAAGCACTTCCATACAGAGTCCCTATCAGTAGGGTACTTGGTTAAATTTTTCAGCAGCTCCACCAGTGCAAGATGAATCCCTTCTTTAGTCGAAACATTAGTACAGCATAAAAGTTCGTGAAGAGCCAGCCTCTCGAATATCTCTGGACAAATCCTCTAACACAGCCAGGATCTCGGAGAGTGATATTATTAGAAATTTTTCTCATGCTGTGTATGGACTGCAGGCGTACTTCCTCAATTTCATCATTAAACATGTCAACCGGGAAATCAGGGCGGTATTTCTCCACAAAAGAAGGTGAAGATTGGGCCAGCATGCAGAGAGCCTCCACAGCAGCAATGTGGACCTCATACATCTCATCTTCCAATCCATGAACAAAGGCTCCACAAGCTCCTGACTCAATCAAGTTCACAGCTCCTGTATCTATTTCTTCCTTGGGAGCATCACCTCCCCACCTTCTGCCACTGGAAAACTCTCCTGACCTGTGAAGTTCCTTGGCACGTTCATGTGTAGTGCGTTTTCTCCTGAGATCTGACATGAGCTTCTTGTCGAGCGTCTGCTCCAAGAAATCAGAACTGACTTGTTCCATTGAGCCCAATAGCTTTGCAGCCTGAACTCCAACCACCCAGGAGCCATCACTGACCACGGGACAAATTTTTCCACATGCATCATCAACTAAGCGAGTTTCTTCATTAGAAGAAGGAATGGGGACAGTGCTTTCAGGATAGAGCTGACTGACAGCCCAGATAAGTTGGACTGCAGCACTGCGCACTTGTTCATAGTCATCAGACAACAATTTACAGGCCTGATTATAAATTGCTTGGTGTAATTTCAGTCCTCTTTCATGAAGCTGCAACATGGCTTTTATACCTGCTGCTCTGACATGTGGGTCTTGGTCACTGAAGTAATCCCCTATAATCTTCTGGACATCTCTGACAGCTAGGCCTTCTCCATCTTTTGTGACACTTGTCTCCATAGAGCCAAGATTGCCATGTAATTGCAGGCACTTATTTGTTACACCATGAGACGTGTCTGTGAGGTGCTTGCAGGCTACATCAACTAATCCCATCTGGATAGCTTGATTCTCTGGGAGTTTGGTGCCAGTTGTCTGGGAGCAAGGTGTCCAACAGTTGAGCAAGGACTTGATGAGACTTTTCATTCTGCAGGATGTTAATGGCATCATCCATAACGCAGTCTGGTGAAAATCCTGCAGTCTTTGATAATAAACCCAACAATGATGCAATTTTCAGTCTCACAGATGGATCATTCTCCTTATAATAATGTTCCAAGAGAATCCTGACTACTCCTTCCACACTTACTGCTTCAACAGGCTTTCTGGCAAACTGGAGTAGATACTGCAAAGCATCCGCTGGGGAGGGAGCTTTACACCGATCTACGTGGAGTGCTGCAGATTTACTTGGTTTTGTCAATCGCAGTTTCTTGGTTGCAATTTCCTCCTGTTGTTGCTGGACCACCTTAGTGAATTCCTTGTACACTCGTTTCTTTAGGTGAGCCGCCATGACTGCCCGCCACACCACAGCTTCTTGATCCATCATCTTTCGATGGACACAGAAGCTCCTTCCGCAGTTTGCCTATTGTGGACATTGCTGCAATAAACATTGGGGTGCAGCTGTCCCGGTTATTATGCTGAGTGAAAACAGTCAATCGGAAAAGGACAGACATTATATGGTCTCACTCATTTGGGAAATATAAAAATTAGTGAAAGGGAATAAAGGCAAAGGAGAGAAAATGAGTGAAAGTATCAGTGAGGGTGACAAAACAGGAGACACCTAACTCTGGGAAACAAACAAGGGGTAGTGGAAGGGGAAGTGGGTGGTGGGGTGGGGTGACTGGGTGATGGGCCATGAGGGGGGCTCTTGGCGGGATGAGCACTGGGTGTTGCGCTATATGTGGACAAATTGAACTCCAATAAAAATTAAAAATTCAAAAAAAAAGAAAATGGGCCCTTTATGTAAATAAGCAAACATTTAACTGATGTATTCATTAGGTCCAATAAATGGAAATGTATGGCACTAAAAAAAAAAAAAAACAAAAAAAAAAAAAAAAAAGACACCAGGGAAATCTTCAGGGTTCTAAAGAATGTCATTGTTTTTCAAAAGATATCCGAATGATATAAACAGGAACATCACAAGTACAGAAGGAAAAGCTGCCGGAGGCACCGATATGAACAATTTCCCTACTACATTAAATGCCGTAGATCATTATGAGAAAGATTGGAATGCATCAGTAAATAAGAATCTTTAAGTCTTGGACACAGTTATTTTTTTAACATAAGCAAATATGCAATAATGTATTTCAAATGTGAAAAAGTACCTGTACCCACGGCCACCCTGGAGGAAGAGCACGCCAAGGGGCATGCTATCAGGATCCCCCACATGACGGAGCAGCCACTTGCCTCAGTGGAGCAACCGACCTCGGGCACTGAGCAACATCCTAAACGAAATCAAGAACCCAGCAGAGCTACTACAATGGGGCGAGCTGAAGCTTATGGGCCTGAGCAGTTCGAGCCGGGCATGGCAGTCAGTGCTGAGTTCTTGGCCCGAGCCGAGATGCCAGCTGCTGAGGCCAAGACAATTTACATGGCAGTCACACCTCTGATTCACTGTCCCGACCTGGAGGAACCACCTGCACACTTGGCCACCCTGCAAGAAGAGCTCCCCCAGGGCGCCCACGATCAATGTCCCCGGCATGCCATGCCAAAGGAGTCACCTGCCTAAGTGCAGCAACCAGCTTCGGCCCCTGAGCAACATCATGAACCACGTCAGCAGCCCACCCCAGCTCCGAAGGTGGGGGCTGATGAAGCTTCTGGGCCTGAGGTGATCGAGCTGGGCGGGACTGTCGGTGCTGAGTGCTTGGCCAGAGCGCAGATGCCAGCTGCTGAGTCGAAGCCAATGCACGAGGTGGTCACACCTCTATTCACTCTCCCGACAAGGAGGACCCACCTGCAATCTTGGCCACCCTCGCGGTAGATCATGTCCCGGCGCATGATAACAGGGTCCGCCACATGCCGGAGTGGCCACCCGGCTCAGTGGAGCAACTAGCGTCCGCCCCTGTGCAATATCCTGAACCACCTCAACAACCGGCCCCAGCTCCTACCTCGGGGCCTGCTAAAGCTTCAGGGCCAGAGGTGATCGAGCTGGTCACAGCTCGAACCGAGATGCCAGCTGCTGAGACCAAACCAATGCACGTGGTGGTAATACCTCTGACTCACTGTTCCGATATGCAAGAGCTACTTGTACCCGTGGCCACCCTGGAGGAAGAGCACGCCCAGGTGCATGCTATCGGGTTCCCGCACATGCCGGAGCAGCCACCTGCCTCACTGGAGCGAACGACTTTGGCCACTGAGCTCCATCCTGAACCAAATCAAGAGCCCGCCACAGAGACTACAGTGAGGCCAGCTGAAGCTTCTGGAGATGGAATACTTCCAAACTCGTTCTATGAGGCCACCATCACCTTAAGTCCAAAAGCAGACAAAGACCCCACCCCACCAAAAAGGAGAGTGATAGAACGATGTCCCCGATGAACACGGATGCAAACATTCTCAACAAGATACAAGCCAATACAATCCAACGGTACATTGAGAAGTTACTCACGGTGACCAGGTGGCATTTATCCCCGGGACGCAAGGCTGGTTCAACACTCGTCAAACACTCCGTGTGACTGATCAGATCTGCAAGAGAAAAAACAAGAACCAGGTGATCCTCTCAATAGATGCAGAGAAAGCATTTGACAAAATACGACATCCATTCCTGATCCAAAAGCTTCAGAGTATAGGGATAGAGGGAACGTTCCTCAGCATCTTCAAAGCCGTCTACGAAAAGCCCACAGCAAATTATCATTCCCAAGGGGGAAACGCTGGGAGCCTTTCCCCGAAGAAGATCAGGAATGAGACACGGATGTCCACTCTCACCACTGCAATTCAACATAACACTAGACATCGTAGCCTCAGCAATCAGGCAACAAAAAGAAATAAAAGGCATTCAGATCGGCCTAGAAGAAGTCAAACTCTCCCTCTTCGCAGATGACATGATACCGTACACCTAGAAAACCCAAAAGACTCCACCCCAAGACTGCTAGGACTCATACAGCAAATTCGGCAGTGTGGCAGGGTACAAAATCAATGCCCAGAAATCAGTGGCCTTTCTAGACGCTAACGATGAGACTGAGGAAAGAGAAATTAAGGAGTCAACCCCATTTACGATGGCACCCAAAAGCATGTGCTACCTAGGAATCAACCTAACGAAAGAGGTAAAGGATCTCAACCCGAAAAACGACAGAACACGTCTGAAAGAGACTGAGGAAGACAAAGAGATGGAAAACTATTCCATGCTCATGGATCCGAAGAATGAATATTGGGAAAATGTCAACATGGGCAATTTACACAATTAACGCAATCCCTATCAAAAATACCACGGACTCTCTTCACAGAGCTGGAACAGATCATCTGAAGATTTGTGTGGAATCAGAAAGGACCCCGGATGGCCACGGGAATAGTAGCCAAGAAAACCACAGTGGGGGGCAGCACAATGCCGGATTTCAGGTTGCACCGCAAAGCTGTGCTCACCAAGACAGTGTGGTACAGGCACAAAACCAGACACATCCATCAATGGAACAGAAGAGGAATGCAGAAGTGGACCCTCAACTCTACGGTCAAGACCATATATTCTACCAAGCAGGAGAGACCATCCACTGGAAAAAAGACAAGTCTCTTCCATAAATGCCACTGGGAATGCTGGACAGCCACATGCAGAGGAGGGAAACTGGACCACTGCCTCACACCAGACACAAAGATAAACTCAAAATGGATGAAAGATGTAAATGTGAGACGAGATTCCATCAAAACCCTGGGGGAGAACACAGGCAACGCCCTTCCCGAACTTGGCCACAGCAACTTCTTGCAAGATACACCCATGAAGGCCAGAGAAACAAAAGCAGAGATGAACTATTGGGACTTCATCAGGATGAGAAGCTTCCGCACAGCCAAAGAGACACTCAACAAAACCCACAGACAATCTCCAGAATGGGAGAAGCTACTTGCAAATGACCCGTCGGATAAAGGGCCAGCATCCAAGATCTCTAAAGAACCTATTCAACTCAACAGCAGAGAAACCAAGAGTGCCACCCTGAAATGGGCAAAAGACACCAACAGAAACGTCACACAGGAAGACACAGACGTGGCCAACAAGCACACGAGACGATGCTCCGCATCGCCGGCCATCAGGGAAATACAGAGCGAAAGCACAATGAGATACCACCTCACACCGGTGAGAATGGGGAACACGAACCAGACAGGAAACAACAAATGTTGGAGAGGATGTGGAGAAAGGGGAACGCTTTCAAAATTCACAAGTTTCAGAAATCGCCATACTCACCTGACAGGGACCAAGGGGAGGTGGGCGTGCACCCGGCGAGCCTGGGGAGCTTGGGAATGGGGGAAGGGGGGAAGGGGGGCAGGGGCTGAAGGGGGAAGGGGGAAAGGAGGACGGGGGGGGGAGGGGGGAGGGGAGGAGGGGGGAGGAGGAAGAGCCAAGGGCCTTGGGGGCGCTCCTGGGGCCCAGCCACCCAGGCCCTCAAGCCACCGCCCCAAGGCCGTACCCTGACGGTGGACAGTGCCTGCATCCAAACCCCTCGGAGCGTGCCCGGATGGGCCCCGCACCCTCCCTGAGCCGCCCGGAGGAGACATGACCCGTAGGAGGCCCCACCGCCAGCCCCCTCCGCGAACAGGTCCCACCACTCCTCCACCGAGCAGTCCTTTGTCTCTCGGTCTCTCCCTCCC